AGCCCTGTGGCCTTCTGGTGCTTATACATTCACTGGGGACCTGTGAGATTTGGTTTGACTGGGTGGCTCAGAAAGGGACTGGACATACCAGAACCGTGTGTCATTGTCCTCTAAACTACATTCTGTGCTTGGAAGCACCATGTGAAAAGTGTCTCTTGTTTTCCAGGTGGTGAGAGAAGCATGTCTGGTCACTCTGGGCCAGGTCACATGATGAACAGGGGAGGGATATCAGGGTAAGGCATTCTGTTGGTCGGTTTCTCTATACGTTAGCTTGCTTTGGGGGAGTTTTCGAAACATTCAAGTCTTCCCAACTTACCCTGCCTCCCCTAATGCTGTGTCCTAAAATGGTACGAGGTCTGTCCCATGGTGCTGCTGCTTGAGGAAGGAGGGTTCTGAAGAGCATGTGACCCACAGGCACCAACACATCCCACTAAACAGACTTAGGATATATGAGCATCTGCATTTGTTCCAGGCGTGGCAGCTTTGCCCCCCGTGGGGCCTCTCGGGGTCACGTGATCCCGCGTGGTGGAATGCAAGGCGGATTTGCTGGCCAGAGCCGGGGCAGCCGACCTAACGACGCTCGCTTCACTCGCCGCTACTAAGTGCTTGGAGTCCTGTGTTCCATCATGTGGCAACCAGAGTACGTTCTGTTAGGATTTATCTCAAACTGTGTACAATAACTTTTTTTATCTGCTGCCATATTGTTGCTTGATACAATGTGAATTTTTTTTTTGTTTTGTTTTGTAATAAAAGTGTTTCTGTTCACATATCCTTTATTTAAAGCATCCTCTCTTTTTACTTCTGTCTCTTTAAAACAAAATTGTACTCGGCACAGCTTTTCATTTAGGGAAAGAGGGCAGCTTCCAGGGACTGTGGGGTTTCCAGCAATCCTGTAGCCCTTGTTGAACAGGCTGTTATTTTCTGTGTGTGGTAAAATATATGTAACATGAAATTTACTGTTTTAACTATTTTTATGTGCACCGTTCAGAAGTGGCATTTAATTCACACTGTTTACAACCATCACCAGTCATCTTTAGAACTTATTTCCCCAAACTGGAACTCAGTAAACACTAACTTATCTCCTCCTCCCCCTCCCTAAGCACCATCATCTACTTTGTCTCTGGATCTAACTCATCTACGGATCTCATCTGAGTGGAACTGCATCCTAGTGGGGTGAGGACAAGTTAATAGCAAAGTGGGGAGCTGCGGGAACAGGAGCTGTTGAATACCAGGAAGGAAGTGATGAACTCTGCTGGAGGAGAGGCAGGGTCTGAGTGTGGAAGGGGTGTTGTCAGGACATGAGAAGGAAGGAGACCTTAAGGCTGGACAGTGTGAGGCCGATGTGTTCAGCGACCAAGCATTCCTGTAATCCAAGAGTTTGTAGCTTGCTCGTTTCCCACCCTCAGCTTCAAGAAGTCATATTTCCTCTGCTCAGCCCACGGGCCCTGTGTGTTCCAGAGACCAACCACCTGACCTGTGACAAAGGGACTAAGCTTTGCCTTTGCATCCTGCCTTTGGGCAAGTTCTTTCATTTCTGAGTCTATTTACTCAACTGTGAAATGCAGCTACTGGGTTGCTTTAAGAGGTACCATTGTGGGAATTCCCCACCTCTCCTTCCTACCTTTTCCCCCTTTTCACTCCCCCATCCAGTCCCAACCCATCCCATCTCCCTCCTCCCCAGATATAAATTGCCTAATTCTCTGAAGGCCACATAGCAGCTCCCAAGTTTTAGTCCACTAGGATACCTATTAACCACAAAACTGTTTCCAGAGAAACACACAGCGGTTGTGTGTGTGGGTGTTACCTTGTTCTTTCAGACTTAATAAAAGCTGGTTTGGCCCCCAGCCACTACAGGAAGAGACGAGGCTGCTGCAGACCATGTGGTCCAAAGTTGGACAGCATAAAGGAGCTCAGCCTTTGCCCAGCATATGGGCAAAGTAGGACTTTGTTCTCAGCAGGTGACATGGAAACCCTGAGCACAGCACATACAGGATCCTTGAGGCTCATGTCTCTCCCTTCAGCAGAACTCACCATCTTCCTATCTTAGCACAGTTCCCTCAGGACAGAGGTGGGCAAAGTGAACTCTGGTGGCAAAAGGGACTTGTCAGGTCAGATTTTTAAAACTAAGGAACTTGAGATGTAGATGACCCTGGGTTATCCAAGTAGGTCCAATATCATCATAAGGGTCCTTAGAAAAATAATAGGGCAACAGGGGAGACAGATGTGAGGGGGGAGAGGGTGAAGAAGACACTGCTGGCTGTGAAGATGGAAAAAGGGCCGAAGGACCAAGCAATGCAGCAGCCTCTATGAGCTGGAAAAGCCCAGGAAACGGATTCTGGAGCCTCCAGGAGCCAGGCCTGCTACCATGTGGATTTTAGCCCAGTGAGGCCTGGATTAGGCTCTGGCCTCCAGAACTGAAACAATTCATGTTAAGCCAACAGCCACAGGGTACTCATACCAACCCCTAAGGCAGTTCTCAAACTAGGGTGATTAGTCCCCAGAGGACATTTGGCAGCGCCTGGAGACCTGGTTGTCTTGACTGGGAAATAAGGGTTGCTACTGGCATTTGGGGGTGGAGACAGAGATGTTGCTCAATATCAAGAGCCCAGGATGCCTCCCCCCGCCCAAATATTCATCTGACCTTGAATGTTAGTGATGTTGAGATGAGGAAACCCTGCTGAGGTGGTAGGTGCTGTCAAGGGCATCCTCAACTCAGTCTGAGGAAAGAAGGAATAGGTTAGGGGAGTCAGCCACGAGGAAGAGTGGTGGCCTGGTGAAGGAGGCCCATGAGTAGTGGGCATCTAGGGGATTAAGAAGAGGGCCCTTGAGAGGTATCTGGGCTCAAGGAGGGCAGTAGGGAGCCATCGGGTATTTCTGAGGATAGTGACATGATCAGACTTTTGGAAAGTTGTGGGGCCAGCCTAGAGGTGGAAAGGCCAAGGAGGTAATGATACAAGTAAAGGAATTGGGGGTCTAAGTGAGGCAATGGAGGGATCAAGTGTGGCAGTCTTGTCTCTGGGCTGGAGGCTGGATCTACATGGAGGATGAGAGAGTAGCTATGAGGAGTCAGGAGCCAGCAGCTGATTCTGGGCCTAGCATGTAGGCAGTGACAAGTAAATCATAGAGGCTGTAGAGACAAGGTCTTGGGTTCAGTTTCGGGGGACTCTCCAATGCCCCAATAGACACACATACACCGAGTACAATGTTCATGAGCAGCAGGACACAGCTTGGAGGTGAGGGTTCCAGGAGAGTTGAGCATGTCCCCAGGGCAGCCCCTTGCACACTTACACAGGTTGGTTTCCTTTTCTGAAGGCTTTGTTGGATTGACAATGGGTTTTTAACAATTGCTCAAGTTCAGTGGGGTGGCCTTGGCAGGTCTCTCCCCACTTCATGAAAGAGTTGATAAATGTGGGTTGAACCCAGATGGCACGGCTGTGGCTGAATGTCCTAAGATCAGGTCACAATTTGATTCCCAGTTAGGATACATGCCCAGGTTGCAGGTTCCATCCCCATTGGGGGACATGCAGGAGACAGCCGATGAACAAGTCTCAGGGTATAAATCCCTCATGGGCCCATGAGAGTGAAGCAAGTGGAAATCCTGTGTCCCAGGTAGGATTTAAGGTTAACCATCTGGGCTCCTGGTGGACAGGTTGAGCTTTTAACCTGGCTACACAAGTGTCTCCATCTGAAAAATTGGCCAATGGGACTGGGGGATCAGTGGGTAGAGACCCAGGTTGGGTGGGTCCTGAACTTGGGCCACACTCCTGCTTCTGATGTCCAGAACCAGGTCCCTCTTGGGCAGTACCAGGGGTCAGGGATGCTCCCTGGCCTTGCCCATCCTGCCTTCACCCTAGACCTGCTCCCATCCCAGTGGAGGCCCAGCAAGTGCAGAGGCGGCAGGGAGCTGGGCAGCATTTATGTGCCACAATGGACATGGGAGACCCACCATGGAGGCCATGGTAGCACAGGTCTCTGTTGGTTTTGCCTCCCCAAGCACAGTAGGCTAGGCCACCCATCCTCAGCTACACCTCTCCTTGTCCTAAGGTGAACAGATGCATTGCTTCTCTGAGGAAATGCCTGGCCTCTATTTCCCCCAATGTAATACCTGCAGCTTTTTCCCAGAATCATGGGTTTGTGTGAGCTCTATCCCTAAACTGAGGGACAAACACACCAGCACTCTTGGAAACAGAGAATTCCATGCTGGCTCAGAGAACCATAGCCAGGGTCTTCTCCTTGCTCTCAGGTCAGGTTCTCTGGCTCCTATCTATGCCCACCTCCACCCCTGACTGGGGCACAGATTTCCTTCTAATGTCCCAACAGAAGGATGCCCTCTGCTTGAGGCCTTGTCTGAGGCCACCTGACCCCAAGCGGTGGAGTAGTTGGGAACATCTAGACAGTCCAACCTCCCAGCAGATATGTTCAGATCACTTGACAGATGATCTAGTGTGTGTGCTAAGGGAAGGTTTCTGAAGGCAACAGGGCACCTACGTAAGATAAAGTCGGGAGGGCAATGACCTCCAGGCATGTGCTCCCAAAGAATACCAGACCACTCCCCAGGCAAGAATGAAAGTGTAAATGGCAAAGGAGAGATGAATTCTTCCCAATCTGAGACCTACCCAGGGCTCAGTCCGCTAAGACCCCAGATCCCCCAGCCCAGTTTGGCCTTCAGCACTTTCTCAACCCTTTCCCAGGGCCCTGAGCACTGGGGCCACCTATCTGTTCCCACTTCCCATATGGAGTGAGGGTCCTGGTGGTCAGGGACCAGACAGAAAGGTATGTACCAAGATCAGGCTGTGAGTAGCCCCCAGGAGCCAAAAGCACAGACACTCAGAGCCAGCTGGATCACTTCTTGCTCTTGGGGCAAACACACAGGCCAGGAAACATTTCCAAAATCCTTTATTGGGCTGCAAGGCCGGGAGCTGCCCTTAGATTAGGGTCCCATTCCAGAGGCTCGAGGTCCATGCCCATTTCCGACTGGGGAGACAGCCTCCTCTGATAGGCTACTTGATTCGTTCCTTCAGGTATTCCCAGCCCTCCTTGGTGTATTCACAGGCCTTGGAAGGGGCCACCGACAGGGCCGACATCACTGTCATGATGCCTGTGGGGAGGGAAGAAGGGCCCAATGCCTGGTCAGGCTCCACACCTGCAGCTAAAGGGTTTAACCCTCTTGGGACACCCAACTCAGCCATGCTCGTAGAGGTGCCACTTTCAACTTTGTCAATTCCACACCAGGAAACTGACACAGAGAAGGGACGGGACCTCACCTTGTCAGAGGCCACCTGACCCTGACGTGCTCCAACCTCTCAAAAAGAGGCCCAACCTCTCAAAAAGAGGCTCCATCTTACTCCTACCTCTCTGGAACCTCCACCCCTTCTCTTTCAGATGTAGGAGAGGCGCACACAGCAGGAAGGGGAGTGACGAAAGCCATGTCCAGGAAGCAGGGTAAGGGGTGCTAAACTAGGTTATGTGGGCCACACCCCCAAGCAGAGGGACCAGGGCCTACCTGAATTCCAGGACTCACGGATGTGAAAGTTAAACTTTGGAGGGGCTGGGAGCTGGGAAGAGACAGGGGAGAAAGGGCTGATGAGAGGGGAAGGGCCTGGCAGCCCCAACTCCCTCCCGAGGCAGGGAAAGCAGCCCAGGCCCCAGTGTGGAGGACACCAAACAAGGTTGGAGGGACCAGGGACTGAAGGTCACCCCAACGTTGGTTCCCATCAAGTTTCAGCCTCACTCGCGGCATGGGGTACCTGGGGTATCTTCAGGCCCGTCTGCTCACACACGTACTGGCTGAACTGGTACATGGCAGGGGGGACAACCTCCTCCGCCCTCTGAAGGGCTTCCTGGCTCCTGTTGCTGGGCCCCAGCAGCTCCTGGTCGTACACCAGGTAGACCACTCCCCCAGCCACACTCCCCTTGATGAGAAACCTGAATGCAGGGAAGGGAACGACAGCAGCTTAGGGAACACTGCAGGCCACACATGGGTGTGTGTGTGTGTGTGTGTGTGTGTGTGTGTGTGTGTGTGGAGTGGGGGGGGGGGGAGACTCTAGGCCTATGGGATTAGTAATTAGACCCCCCCTAGGGAGTCCCACAATCCAAAATACTTGAAGCCAGGAAGCTAATAGGGAAATTGACTGGGCACCTTGCTAGCTCAGAAGCATGCTTGACCCGTACTAGGCACAGTATTCCATTTACAGTGTGCAAAGCAGGAGTACTCCGCCCCATTCAACTTATAAACTGAGGCCCGCAAAGGGATAGTGGATCACTAATGATTCCGCACAGAGCAGGGAACAGTGAAGACATAAGTCCTTTGACTTTCTGCCTTCTGCCCGAGGGACCCTCCGTAAGGGTTTTCCAAGTGTATCTGGTCGCTTCCTGTATGTCCAGCGCCGCTGTGGGTGCGCATTCATCGCCTAATAAATGGCGTGCGGCACACCCACTTTACAGAGAAGGCAACTGAGACTCGGAGAGACGTTGTATTCCGAGAATACGAAAGCAAGGGCTCGCGCGACCTCGGGAATCACCTCTCCGCTGGAAACTCAGTTTCCCCAAGTGGTCCATAGGGCACCTGACACTACGGGAAACGAGGAGCAGGTGGGGAGCAAACCAGAGGGGGGTTCCGCAGGGAGGACTTTCTCAGGAGCTCGGGGACCCGCCCGCCCGCCACACGCACCTCATCATCGACCACACTGGGGACACCATAGCCGCTGGACTCCGCGCGCAAGGACAGTCGGCTCGCCCGCCGCTTCCGTTAGCGAAGCGGCAGGGGCCTCTGGGAAGTGTAGTTTCCCTTGTCAGCCGCAAAGACCTTTGGGAGTCGGAGTCTCCTTACCAAAAGTGTGCGGAGTAATCACATGGGCCTGGGCCGCCGCAAAGCTGCTGGGAAATGTATTCGGCACTGACTTGTGGGGCTCCGGATGACTTGCTAGCCGCCAAGCCTCTTGGGAAATGTAGTCCTGTCTCTGTGGCGTGAATGAAAAGGGAGTAGGATGTCTGGAGTGAGGCCTGAGGGTGACCCAAGAAGAGGTAGGAGCCCGGGAGGTCCAACGGCGACTGCGAGGGTGACTCAGGATAAGGGCTTAAGAAGAGTGTCCCTAGAAGCCAGTTGCCACGGCAACACGAGGGCGGAATTATTCGAGAGAGGCGGGACTAGGTCACGTGAGAGGTTTCGAATGGTGGGGAGTGTCTTCCTTCTGGAGGCTGAGCTAGGGCTTTGGCTGGGATCCAAAGAGCCAGCCGGGAGGCCGTTGCCTGGCAACGCCGGGCATCGCAGAGTCCTCGCGGCCTGGCGCCCTCTTGCGGAGAGACAGGGTTAGTCACGTGACACGGGCCCTACGGGCGGGGCGTGGTTGGGGGCCTCCGGCGGTGAACTGTGACTCTACTGGCGTGCGCTTGGCTCCGGCGCAGCCTGCCCCGGCCCCGGTGCACAGCGGAAGAAACAGGCTCCAGAGGGTTAGTGGGCGGTTGGGAGCTCGGAGCGGGTGGGGAGCAAACCAGAGGGGGGTTCCATCACCCCAAAAAGGACAGTCGGCTCGCCTGCCGCTTCCGTTAGCGAAGCGGCAGGGGCCTCTGCCTTTTTAAAAAATATATATATATATATTTTTAAATATATATATATTATTTTTTTTACAGAGAGGAAGAGGAGGATAGAGAGTTAGAAACATCGATAAGAGAGAGTCATCAATCAGCTGCCTACTGCACACTCCCTACTGGGGATGTGCCCGCAACCAAGGTACATGCCCTTGACCGGAATCGAACCTGGGACCTTCAGTCCGCAGGCCGGCGCTCTATCCACTGAGCCAAACCGGTTTCGGCCGCACGCCCTTTTTGTACAACGGGAAAACTGAGGCCCAGCAAGGTCAGAGGGCCAGTGGATTCTGCGGGGATCCGGTTCCCTACACCCCCATCTCAGCACAGGTGCTTCGTCCATCCATCCATCCATCCATCCTTCGGTGGGAAGTGGGTTGAGCTGAGGGGTTCATGCCTTTCTCTGGAAGGGAAGGAGGTGGGAGCGTTCCCTGCTGCGAGAATTGCTGGCGTGACTGGGAAAGGCGACAAGTTCACTTGTCCGAGAACGGGCTCATAGGCAGGAGTTGGAGAAGATGGGAATGGGCAGGAGGGCAGAGGCCAGACCCCCTGGGCCTTGTGGGCGTGTGAGGAGCCTGGTCTCCATCTGGAGCAGTGGCGAACCCTTGGGAGGGCTCAGAGCAGGAAGGGGCACACTAGCCTTCTTTTGACACATCCTTCTGGCTGCTTGGCTAGAACAGGTGGGAGGAGCGGAGTATAAAGATGGGGGAGGAGGGGAGGCTGCTGGAGCTTTGTTGTGGGGCAAAGGACATAGGGCTGGAACTCCCAATTGCACCAGCTCTCAGCATCCTGGGTCCTAGAAGTCCCCTCCTCTTTGCTCCCCTGAGTACAGAGGATAGAAACCCCAAGATGTGATGAACCTGTGCCCTTTTCAAAGGAAACCTATGACTCCCAAACTTGAAGCAGCCATTTCCCTTGGCCAAGTAAATCGCTCCTATAGCTTAACTCTCATATCTTAACTCTCATGACATGGGGACCTGCTCACTCCTCCTGGGTATCTCCAGAGTGGTCTGTCTCCCCCAGCTCTTGCCTCCCGCATTCCTGTGTTAATCTAGTATCTATTGAGCACCTGCTGTGCTCTTGACACAGTTTGGAGCACTGAAAACCTAATGGGGGGGGGGGGAGGAGGACCAAAAAGAAGGTAGGTTTCTGTTTTCTTCCTGCCCTTGAGTGGTTGACAGTCTAGAAGTGAATGACGGTGAACTTGGAAGAAATCATCAAGGTGATTTCGGGTGATGTTCCGTGCTGAGAAGGGGATAGAAATTGTAGAGGTAGGAGAGAGTAAGGGACGTGCCTCAGAAAAAAGAGGCCCAGGAAGTGCTCGGGGAAGAAGGAATTTTTATGCGGAGACTTGAAAGAAGCAAAAGCAAGCCATTGGATTACCTGCCTGAGCAATTAAGAGGGAACAGCCAGCCGAGACCTGTGTGGCTCAGTGGATAGAGTGTCAGCCTGCGGACTGAAAGGTCCCAGGTTCGATTCCGGTCGGGGGCATGTACCTTGGTTGTGGGCACATCCTCAGTGGGGGGTGTCAGGAGGCAGCTGATTGATGATTCTCTCTCATGGATGTTTCTAACTCTATCCCTCTCCCTCTCTGTAAAGAATCAATAAAATATCTTTTTTTTTAAAAAAAAAAAAAAAAAAAAGAGGGAACAGCCAGTGCAAAGGCCCTGAGGCAGATGGTGACTGGCTGGTTCTCAGGAACAGCAAAGAGGCTGGTGTGGCAAAAAGCAGAGTGAGCAAGAGGCTGGTGTGTGAAGGGCCTTTTCGGTCATCGAGGAGTGTGTGTGACTTTTGTCCTGAATAAATCTGGGAGAGTTTTCAGCAGAGGGAGGCAAGATGTGCTGCCGCTGTTGCCTGGAAGGAGAAAGCCCCAAAGACTGGGAGAGTGGTTCCGGTGGCCCGGATGGTGGCCTGGGCCACGTGGTGGCGGTTGTGATGGAGAAGAGGCGCAAGTCTAGGGGCCAAGCTGATCTCCAAACGAAGGAGCAGTTGGGGAGACAGGTGTGGCTGTGGCCCAGGACCATGCTGGCCACCTTCTCTCTCACTGCAGACCCAGGGCGGGCCATGCCAGCCCTCCTCCTCACTGGGCTGGGAGCTCTATTTTTGGGCTGACAACTTTGGCCCAGGTGAGTGCCAGAGGTGGGCCAGGGGGGAATCCGGCCAGCTGCCTTGGGCACACTCAGGCTGACCACCCCTGCTCGGTGCCAGCTGGCCTCCAGGGAGCCCGTGTGCTGCTGCCAGGAGCCAGTGCTGGCGTTGGGGAGGAACTGGCACGTCACTCTGCCTGCCTGGGCTCCCCCCTGGTGCTCACTGCCCGCACGGAGGCCTTCCCGCAGAAGGCGAGACACCCATTTCCAGTGTAATGGTGGGGGTGCGAGTGGGGTGGAAAATGGGGCCTGGGTTTGAATCTCTGCAAAGATCCCAGGCTTCCCATGTGACCTTGGGCAAGTTGCTTAACCTCTGTGAGCCTTCATTTCCTCATTTGCAAAACGGAAAGCAAAGTACTCCTTGCGGGCTGTGGCATTGGGTGGATCAGTAAGACAGTGAGTGTAAACCGGGAGTGTTCCTCAGTGAATGGCAGTATGGGTCCTGTCCAAAGGCTGTGATGATAGACAGGGATCCCAAACTGAAAGGGGGGTGGGTGGGCTTTTCTTAGCAACAGAACGTTCTGAGCAAATGCACAGCTCTTGGACACAAACCTTCCAGAATTTCAAGGCGGGGGGGGGGGGGGGGGAGGGCGGTTTGGGGAGAGCAGAAACCTTGAGATATTTCTGATATCCCCCGAGTTTTAAATCGTGATGATTGACCAAATGAAACAGATGCCAGTTTAGGGCCCCAGTGGTAAAGCTTTGGGAACTGAACAGGAGGCTCAGAGTAGGGGAGGGGGCTTCAGGATGGGGCCCAATGCGCCTGGCAGATAGAGGGAGCCCACGGGGTAGAGGGGCCCTGGGCAGCTCTGGCCCCCCAGGTGGTAGGGGACTGCCGGACGCTGGGCGCTGGGCGCTCCCAAGGTCTTCTTTGTCGCCGTGGACGTGGCCTCCCCGAGGTGCCCCCAGCGCGTGGTGCGGTTTGCGCTGGACAAGCTGGGTGAGGGGCGGGCCCGGAGTCTGGGACCTCGGCTTAGACTTTAGGGGCAGGATCCCAATTGGCGCGCGGGGGGTTGGGGGGGAGAGGGGGGAAGAGGAGGAAATGTATAAGGTTCCCGGGGCATAACTAGGGGGGGAGCCTCATTGCGTCCAGGGAGCTCCATTGGATGAGGGACTTGGCCTGTAGCCTGTCAGGATCCGGGAGGTAGGCCTGGGTCTCTAATGGGGGAGAAGGGGCTCTAAGAAGGGCGGAACTCATGGATGCTCTGGGTAAGTTTGAGAGTCTAAGGGGTGGGGCTAGAGAGGAGTCCAGGGGGTGGAGCCTCAAGGACTAGCTCCTAGCTGCTCCTGCACAGGCCGCTGGACTACCTGGTGCTGAACCACCTGGGTGCTGCCCCAGCAGGCCCACGGGCCCTCAGTGCCCACGGAGCTAGCCGGCTCATGCAGGTGCCCCGCCCTTTCTCCACCCTGCCTCCCAGCCCCCCGGGCGGTGCTCCATCCCTCCTGTCCCCGGGTCCCACCTCTAAATTTGCTAGATTTCACCCCGTTTTTTGACTGTGACTCCTCACACTGCTGGCACTCCAGCCCTTTCTTCCCAGGCTCCATCCTCTCCCCCATCCCTCTTTGGGCTCCGGCCCCAGCCCCTGCCCTGCTGCTTCTAGGCTCCACCTCTCCAGGGCGTGGCTCCGCCCTGGTCCTAGTTCCAGCCCAGCCCTAACCAGCCCGCCCCCAGGTTTATAGGTTCCGCCCCCCTGCCTCCACCTTCTGGGCCTGCCACCGCCTCCAGGTGAACTTCCTGAGTTTCATGCAACTGACTGCCCAGTCTGACTGATAGCAAGGGCTCCCTGGTGACGCGGGGCGGGGAGTGGGGAAGCCACAGGCCGATGCAGGAGAGCCTGGGTGGGGCTAGCAGGTTACCTCGAGGCGGGGTGGGGGGAGCAGTGTGTGGCAGCTCAGCTGCTACCCTCCTTTCCACCCAGGCCGTGTGCCCACGCCCTTCTCCAGCCCCTATTCTGCGGCCAAGTTCGC